GGTTCAAGAGACTTCTAGCAGCAATTCTCTTCACTTAAGGCAAAGACAAAAATAAACTGGGAAGTCCACTGGCTTGACTTGGGGTTAGTGGATTTAGGGGAGTCCATGGTGGTGGCCTCTGTTTGACCATGGTGGTGAACTTGTAGAACTGGGGGGCTCTTCCTACTGCCCAGGCTGGTGTTATACAAGTGCAAGAACGTGTCCAGAAGTGGTTTGTAAATCCTGAAGCTTTGCCTGAATCTAGGTTCTTCCTGCTACTACGACAACTACTATTCATCCCCTCCGCAAGCCACATGTGCCTGCTCTGTGTCTCTGCACCTGATGAGGGTCATTCCCAGTGCGTGGGGAACACGCCCCCTCCCTCACCCCCCAGGAGAACATTATTCTAGCACAGAAATCTCTAAAGATACGATCTCAGGAATGAGGCACTAATGGTGGGTGTATTGGACACTGTCGCAAAGGAGTAGAGGAGAGATTGGCGAGCCAGGGGTCTTTGTTGATGCTTTGCCAGTGTATGCCACCTGGATTGCAACCAGGTGGCCCTGCTTTGCACAGCTCATTCCAGAGCCCAACTTTGAACTCGGGATTACTCTTGTCCAGGAAGTCCTGTGGACTTTATGCCTGTGTCTGCAGCTGGCCATCTGCCTTTGACTAGACACTGCTCCTGGGGCCATGGGGTCTGTCCCAGGCATGGGTTCATAAGGGGGTTGCTCACTTTCACCTTGGTCAGAGATTGTATAGTAACAGGGATGGGGGTGGAGATGGGAATGGAGATGGAGTTGGAGTTAGGGAAGGGGTGGAGACGGAAATAAGGATTGAGTTGGGGTCGGGGTAGGGATAGGAATGGGGGAAGGAAATGGAAGTGGGGATAGGACTGGAAAAGGGGATGGGTTTGGAGGTAAGAATGGAGGTAGAGAAAGAAATGGGAAAGAGATGGGATGGAGGTGAGAATGGAGGTGGGGGTGGGGGTGGGGCTGGGATGCAGATGGGAAGACTAAGAATGAAGGAAGGCTGTAGATGACAAGCCTACGAAGCAGTGGGTTGTGGGAGAAAAAGATTGCTGTTCTCAGTCACAGCGAGGGAAAGGGGGAGGAAGAGGAGAGGGGGATGGTGCTGTGTGGGGTGACGCATCCATGAGCAGCCAGGGACTCCCAGGTGTAGGCAGCTCCCCGCCTGCCTCCACGCAGAGCCCTGCACCAGGCGAGATGCGGAGTGGCATTTTTCTAGGACACAGTGACTGAGGACGATGTTGATGGGGAAAGCGTGTGAAGCCTGAGCTGTCCATGCTGATATTAGCAGCTCTGCTGTCTCATCGTCCCTACAACTGAAATCTGTTATTGTCTTACGAGCTTGATTAACTGTACATATTGCTAACACCTGCTCGGAAATATAGCAAGGGACAGGAACACAGCTCCCAGTCGGGGTCTGTGTGGGTAGTGTGCGTGACTTGGGTGCAGATCTCCAGGACGGGGATGTGTGCACACGCAGGTGTGTGAGTGTGTGGGGGTGTTGGGGGAGGTGGGGGGGGCACCCATGCTGTGCAAAGAACCCTGGCCAGGATTTAGAAGGCCTGGGTGCCAGTCCAGGCTCTGCCACCACAGTGTGACCACAGGCAAATCTCTCCCTCTCTCTGACCTCAGTTTGCTAACCTATAAAATGGAAGTTCTCTAGACCAGCGCTGTGCAATAGAAATATAACGCAAGCCACATATGTCATTATAAGTTTCCAATAACCACATGGAGAAAAGTGTTTATAGGCGAAATTAATTTTAATAATGTTGATGAAGTCCAATATAGCCCAAATGTTATGTCGACATGTAACCGATAATAAATATCAATGATCTATTTAACATTCTTTGTAAAAGTGTCTTTAAAATACAGTGTGTGTTTTACATTTACTTCACCTATGAACTCAAAAAAGCCACATTTCGAGTGCACGGTAGCCACAAGGGGCGAGTGGTCACTGGGTCAGGTTTCCTCGCGAAACCGTGAGTGCCCCAGAAGGTAGAGACCAGGTTTTATTCTCCCAGCCAGTAGCAAGGAGCCCCAAAGAAAGAATGTTCGTAAGTACTGCTAATAAAGGCAGCTGACATGTATTGGGTACGGTTTTAAATCACTTTCAGGTACTGCTTCATTGAATCCGCACAGGTCCCCTTTAATTTTCATTTTGCAGATAAGGAAACAGAGGTTCAGAGAGGTCAAGTAACTTGCCCAAGGTCACACAGCCAGTAAGTGGTACAGCTGGTCTTTGAAGCTTCAGTAGTCGAGTTTAGAGCCCACACTCTTAACCATTGTCCTAGACTACCTCCTTATATTAGTAATACGAATAATCTTAATTAAAATTGTCAAACTGTATTTTCAGGCATACTGCGTGCCAGGCATCTTGTAGGCATCATCTCGTTTACTCCTCAAAGCAAGCCCATAAGGAAGGTTCTAGGTGTCTATTGGTATGGTCCCTTGATCTTCGTGGCAACCAAGTTAAGTAGCGCCACCCCCAGAACCAGGTTCTGAGGGGTCCGTATCCGTGGAAGTTGAGGTGCAGCAGGTGAATGAGTGATGCCAGTGGCTAAAATGTGTACTGAAGGCTAAAGGTACCCGTGGGTATGAGCTCCTTCGTTCTTTCCAAAGATAAAGTTACCACAGCTTCATGTCACAGTTCGGGCTCTGGAGCCAGGGCACTTGGGTTCAAACCCTGACTCTGTGAACCCAGGCAAATTGCTTCGCCTCTTAAATGTCCCCATCTATAAAATGGGAATAGATAAGCCCACCTCATAGACTAATGGTGAGGATTAAGTGAATGAACACGTGGAAGGGCTCAGGACAGCTCCTGCCTGGTGAGCGTTGGCCACTGTTGGCTCTGGCTGTGCGATCCAGGTTTTCAGGCGAGTTCTAGAAAAGTTAGATTGCAGAATCTGCAACTTCTGGGTAATTGAAGTGTCTGGTGTATTTTTCCCTTCGGAAGTCCTACCCCACTTAGCATCTGTTTCATCCCATCTTACACTTAATTACAATTCTCCCTCTATTGTTCTCCCATTGTTTCCTGTTTGTCTGCTTCCCCTGCTGACAACGCGTGGTGGCTGCCTGAATCAATGAATGGTTCATACCTGGCTTCCCTTCATGAGACCTTAAAACAGAGTTGCCAGGAGACTGTCCCCCCCGCCAGACTGGGACCCTCTCATCCCTGTGTCTGTTTCATCACCCAGCGCCTACCGCTAGCACCTGGCACCAGGCCCCACGCCTAGTAGGTGTCAGGAAATGTGTGTCGGATTTAATTAAACTTAACGGGACTGAAAACCTCCTGCAGGAAGGGAAGGCCCACGCTCCTTCAGTTTCTCTGCTTCCCCCACTGCTCAGGACCCGTGGCCAGATAAGCCAGAACCGACAGCCTTTCCCAAGTGAAAGGCTAAGATTTCTGGCTCCTGTTCTGCTAATATCAAGGCGGGTGGGGAAATACTATAATAATAGGAATCATAAGAATAGGCGATCCCTGCCCTGTGCTAAGCTCTTTCATATCTAGTAGCTGGTTCTTCTTCGAAGGTCTGCTAAGTATGATTCTCATTTCACAAACTGAGGCTCACGGTTTTGGTAACTTGCCCAAGGACATGGAGGTGGGGTGACCTAGCTGGGACTTGGACCCAGGAGTGCCTGATGGCTCCATGCGAGTCCTTTCCAATACCCCACAGTGCCTGGAAGTGTGGGCTTTGGCAAACGAGTAGTGGCAGCTGGTGAGGAAAGCAGAGAGGTGAGCTGGTGGTCGGCGGGACCAGTCAAAATAAGCCAGCCTCTGTAAAAAAGAAAAGCAGGAAGCCTCCTGCGTCCCAATGTCTCTCAAAGTCGCCTTCTTCTCTCTGCGGCCCTCACCATGGTCTAAGAGCTACCGACCTCCCTAGCCCAGGGGTCGGCAAACTGCGGCTCGCGAGCCACATGCAGCTCTTTGGGTACGTCCCGTCTCAAAAGTTTGCCGACCCCTACTCTAGCCTAAATTCACACTCCGTTTCCAGTCTCTTCAAAATGCAACTCTAATCATGTCACTGCTCTTGCTTAAAACCTTCAATGGCTCCCCACTGCTCTAAGGACAAAGAAGAAAAAGTCACGAACTGTGATGTGCTGGGAAACCTGCTCCCTGGCAGCTGGGGCAGGAGCAGGAACAAATAAACAAAAAAGCCCTCATTTGTAGCCATGGCTGATTTCCATGGTGTCAAGACGCCCACTGCGGCCCGTTTCAAGCGAGCAGCAGTTTAACACCTAGTTCACCAAATTCCTGAAAATGTCACAGTTGGCTCTCACGAGCCTGTCGGAACCTGCCCCAGTGAGTGGTGACCCACCAGCAGCTGTCCTGCGCATGACCCCAGCCCCACTGGGCACCACATTCCGCTGGCTCAGTGGTTCTCAACCTGTGGGTCGCGACCCCTTTGGGGGTCGAACAACCCTTTCACAGGGGTCGCCGGGTACTTGTATGTGGGCGTATCTGCATGTGGGCCTGGAGACGGATAGAGGAACGGTGTCTCGGTTCCTAAGACCATCGAAAATATGTGTTTTCCGATGGTCTTAGGCGACCCCTGTGAAAGGTTGAGAACCGCTGCTCTGGCTCCTTGAATTCCCACTAAATGGCCTGCTCTCACCCCCCTGCCCTGGGCCAACCTGCCACCACACCTTTGCATATGCTGTTCCTACCACCTGCCAAGCTTAGACTCTGTCATGCTTCCTGGTACCTGGTGCACTTAGCATATAACTGTGTCATCTCTTGATTCATGCTCTGTTATCCACCAGGCTGTGAGCCCCATGAGGCAGGGGCCTTGTCTGCACACCCAGCAGGGACATCATTCTCGCTGTGGTTGATGACAATGGCACCCTCCGAAGTTGGGCAACATTTGCCCCACTGCGCCGCCGCCCCCTCCACCCAGCACCCAGCATAGGACCTGGCCCATCTCAGATAATCAGTGAGCTCTTCCTGAATCTTCCAGTTAAGCCTTTGTCTTCCTGTGCTTCCCTTTTGGGTAGCTCCTCCCACCTCCATCGAAGTGGTGGCCACTGACACACCAGCCCCCTTCAGCCGCTACCAAGCCCAGAACTTCACGCTGGTCTGCATCGTGTCTGGAGGGAAACCAGCACCCATGGTGAGTACCCCCGGAGTGCCCAGTCCCTCCTCAGTCCCTGCCGGACCGCTTTCCTCCGTGGCTTATCCAGCTGCAGGTGTCACCACGGTGCCCACTCTAGAGAAGGAAAGAGAGAGGGTGTGGTCTGCGTAAGTTAACTCTGCCCTGCCCGCCTTGGTCTGACCCCATCCACTCAGCTGGCCCGCCCGAGTCTCCACGTGTCTCTCTTGTTTCCAGTCGCCCAGGGCTGAGAACCCCCATTTCTGCTGGACCCGCGATCCTAGCACTACATAGTGGGAGTGGTCTTGAGGGGAGCCCAGCATCTAGTTCAACCCCATCCCAGTTCTTGAGCAGAATGGAGGCTCATGAGGCCCCGGATGAGGACGGCACGCATCCGGAGTCCCCCACAGTATTCTCGACAGAGCTGGACCTCAAGTTCATGTCCTCCAGCGCCAAGTCCACAGTGGAGGGAGGGAGGAAGGGAGGGAAGAAAGGAGAGAAGGAGGGAAGGAAAGAAGGGAGGGAGAGA